AAAATCGCATGCATGCGTCTATAGGGTAACAGGTAGGCATTCTCTACTGGGGAACTTCTTCCTTCTCTCTCACTCACTCTGTTCGCTCTCCCTCTCTCTCTGTTTTCTTTTTCTTTCGTATATCCGTCTTGCAAATTAGTTACATGACTGTTCAGTGCACGGTATTTAGGAGGCTGTACTGATGATTCTTGCTCTTACCCACATGCATAGTTCGCTTTACAGCTGAAGGATGAAACATAGACTGCATCATAAAATGTTCTCTGGTACATGGCACTTAAGTCCAGACCTGCTATTCTACTATTTTGCCAAGAGCTAATGTGAAATGAGTAAAAGGAGTGCTTGATGAAATCCTAGTGGAAAAGAAATTGCACGAACGTCCTACGCATTGATGCTAGGAGATTGGTACCTCAATGAAGTTTTGCACAAGACGGTGCTGGCCTATAAAAGATAAGTTTCTACTTAATGTATTTTTTCACCAGTTAGCCCGACGATGCTTCTCAACGCCATGCCTTATTTTTTATGTATAAATTTTTTTTGTGTGATTACTTCGCTACTTCTTTGTTCATACTAACATTAATTTGTGATTTCCAAACTTGCCCGAGCAGAGCAACGTCACACTGTCTATTCGGATGCCTGAAGCTGCCAAAATTTTAGAATTTATTCTGTTTTGTCACTGCCTAACCGGCTGCTACCCCCTTTCCATCAATGAATTTGCTTGAACCCGGATCTGTGAGATAAAGAAAAGCTACAAAAGCAGCAGTGCGAATGGTTTGTGCCGACTTCTTATACATTTATGTTTTTCTGCCTATGACTTCATATTTCAAGTTTTTTCAATACATGGGAAATAAATAGTGAAACCGATACCATAGTTATGGAGTATTAATTTCATGCAATTGAAACAAACCTTATCATATGCTTTAGCAACGGAGAGTTTGTTCGCTGTGTCCACATCATTTAAATAGTACTCCCTAGCTTTGTCTCTCAGCTGTTCGCAGTTGGGATACTTGTCCTCCGGAATGTAAGTTCTCAACAACTTGTCCATCCCGCGCGCCGTAAATGCGCTTGGCAGTAGAGCCGCTAAAATTACGAATGTTTCAGGCTGTCAAGTTGTGCATTAAATTGGTCATCCGTCAATCAAAATTGATTGTGTAGCTGAACAAAATTACAGATGAGGTTTGGAAAGTGTATAAGGTTCCTTGTGATGTAAATGGTTCAGCTGCCGAGTGGAGCACAACGGTAAATAGCGTACTGGATGATATGTTTACGATACGAAAGTAGGGATGTGAAGTTCGATTCCCTCCCGATCCAGATCCACTTGCAAAAAAGCTGCGCTTGAAGCTTCCCATACAAGTGCAGAAGACTAATACCTACTTACAGATTATTTGCCTTTTTTTTAAATTCAAATATTTTTGTAACGCTTAAAGTTCACAAACTTATCATATTAAGCTTAGCTTGAACTTAGAATTTCAGTCATGGATAAGGGCTTTATACACTAAACCGTTCCAAAACTCTTTGCTGCCAAAAGGATTTTCTTTAAAAAGCGTACAATTTCCTCATTTGCTGAGTAAAAATTTGTCTGAAATCGACATGAACTAACCGAAAACAAGACTTTCATGTTGGCAAGCTCCAACCATACAACTCTTGACCGGCGTTTCTTTTCTTAGTTCAGCAATTGGTTTCGGCAAAAAATAACCATCAATGACAGGTGCCAAGTCCAGACCTACCTTGTTTGTGTCCACACCACCGCGCCCAAACATCCCACGCTCAAATGCTTTTGCTGGTAAATTTCGCAAATAATCCAGCATTTTTTCATGGCTTTCGCAACCTATAAAAGGACCAGAAATGTACCAACTTATGCAGCAGGCTCATCGGTGCGA